ATAAAATCTGTATTTATGTGACACTCATCCTGGCCTTTTGCTTCTAATACAGTTTGGTATTATTATTTTTCTTTAACTAGAAGATCTGAATGCTTCCACTGATCATTAGTTAATTCACTAAATCTGATCTGTAGTTTGCTGCCATCATATAAAGCATTAATATAAATGATGTAAACATTCATACGCCTGTTAGGAACCATCAGCACAAGGATTAAACAGCATCAGACTCAGCTGAGAAATTGTACTTTGCATCTATGCTGCTTTTATTATGTTTATAGTCTTTTTAGGGAGAAAATGTGCTCCTCTGGGTTTTTCTAACATAGCCAGCGTCATTTACTGAAGCAGAGTTTATGTACGAATCAAAGCCGTCTCTGGAGATCACATTCAGGATTAAACGCTGTGTCTTGGGTGGTCTGAGATTTCCTGAGCGTTTACAATGAAGAGTGGGCAGCCAGCAATCAGCCCAGATTTCCTGCTGTTCAATCAGCTCACGGAGGAAGCTGGTTGGTGGTTTTCATGCAATAACAGCATGTGCACATGTGCAGGACTCGAATAAAACCGTGTCTCTGATGATAGTAAATGCAGCCGCTGGCAGCCCACACATGGATACGGTTCGGCTGTGGGGTTCTGTTTTGGTCTTATTGTATGTCGGGCCTCAATCCAGTGCAGTTCAGTTTTTAGGAGTAGATTCTGAGTTCGTGCCGGTCCAGAGGAATGTTTTTCTTTTTTGGTCCAGGCCACAGCTTTGAGGGGGAGGGCAGGGAAAGTTTGGAGGAAATGGGTGTTGAGGACTCCTCCTATATCTCCACATTCCTCCTCGGTGCCCTTCTCTCCAAGAACTAGAGAAGAGGAAGAAAGAGCAGAGACAGAAGAGAGCAGCAGCTAAAGAATCTGAGGACCACAGAAGGGTTGGAGGCCTTGAAACTAACGGGTAAGAATCTCATCCCCCCAAAAAACTCTTGGTTATATTTACACAGAGGTGATATTTTCTGACACACGTGGCTGCAGTGTGATGAAACTAAAGCCTGAAGAGATGGAGCTCACACACAGACGTGATCAGATGCTGGCAAAACACTCCTGAACTGTATTTTTTGTGTGTTTTACGACAATGTTTTCCAGTTCGTGATATGTGTGCACTTACTGTGGTCATTACTGTAGCTCTGTCTGTGCCAGGCACCTTCAGCTCTTACATAAACCAGATGGAGTCAAACACATGCTTGTTTTAATGGTGTTATAGCAGCAGCAGGACTTTCCCTCTACGGGCAGAGCTGGGTGGCAAATAAGGAGAACGGTTTATAAGCTAAAATCCTGTATAACAGAAGGTATGTAATGTACAGAAGATAAACGTTTGCTAATAAAAGAAAGGCATATTTAATTTGTGTTCTACCTCCAACCATCACCTGAACACATACCTTCAGGGAGCTCCTCATATAATCTGCACTGTAAGCAAAAACAAGCATTTACTAATTTAGCATGTGTGTCTGAGGGAAGTGAAACTAAACAGTCTTGCTTCATAATGTGACTTCCTCTTTATTATTTATATGTATTATGGATGATGACGTCTGTGTTCGTTACCACATCTCTCGTTACTGTAGAGACGGTTGCTGTTGTTTTAACTGAATCACTCATTGTTCAGAGGTTTGTGTTCGTCTTTGGCTTGTTTTAGTGTCGATAGTTAAGAAATGTGTTGAACACAAGGGACACAAGTGTAGTTTTCTTCATACTTTTTGAATGTCAAGTGTAATGAAACCCGTGTAGATTAAAATAAAACAGAGGCTGTACTCAGATTCACTAACAAAAGGCCTCAGCTGTTTGTTTACAGAGGCTACAGGGTGCTGATGATCTGATGTTTCCCTCAGAGACTGTACAGACTCAGAGGATACAGTGACCTCCTCCTCCTCCTCCTTTATGTCCGGCATGCTTGAGGCCTGATAAATGGCCAGAGATTGCCAGTGCAGATGCAGAGATGCGTGATGAAAGCGCTCAGAGTTTCCTCAAGAGGCACACAGAGACTCCAGTGTTTGAGGCCACTGAGCTCTGCTGCTCATTTTGAACCTCACAGAAGGAAGAGAAAGTTGTAAATAAGGATCGTCTGGCTCTGGCTGCAGCTCAGTCTGTTTATGTTTGATTCATTTATAAAGTCTTTTATCTAATCATTCTTAAAACTCTTTGTACTCAGGAGTCTTGGTCACATCCAGAAGCAGCCATGGTCTTCCTGCTCGTGTCCCTGACGGTGCTGCATTTAGCCACCCTGGCCATGCTGCTCATCGCCACGCTGGAGAAGGTGAGAGGCTGCGTTTTTGTGAACTGTTGGGTGAACTGGTGTTTCTCTGCTTCTCATCATGTTGAAAACCAAACACAGAGCTGCAGCCGGTCAACATGTTGACTGTCTGTGGAGCCGTCAGTGCAGGACAGAACCTGTTTGACTGTTAACTCTCCTTTTCTGTTAACTTTTCTGTTTTTTAGTCCTGGTGGATCTGGGCAGATACAGAAATCACTGATCTCTGGTATAACTGCTTCCACGATAACGCCACCAAAACCTGGCTGTGTGCTGCTACGACTGAAAGCGGTGGGTCATCGGAGAACTTCTCCTGATACATGTGTTCGCTCATCTTTAGCATTTCAGTGGTCACACATTTATTATCCACCCTGTTCTCCTCCCAGACTGGCTGCAGTCTGTGCAGGCCCTCATGGTCCTCTCAGTGGTCTTCTCCTCCATCTCCTTCCTGGTTTTTCTGGGTCAGCTGTTCACCATGTCCAGAGGAGGCCTCTTCTACTTCACTGGCCTCTGTCAGGCCTTTGCAGGTTTCTCCAAAGCTTATTCCTTAATCCAAATAAAACCGTGTGAAGTACAACATAACACCTTGATTCCTAACTTCTTTAGAGTTTTACTCTTGATGAATCTGGCTTTTATATAAATACATGGAGGTTTGCACATTGTCAACACATTTCATGGCATATCAAAGTTAGCAATGAAAACAAGCACCGGCGTTGTCGTCCCTAGCTGGTTTAGTTCATGACTCTGCACCACTGACCTCAACTTTTAGCCAAAACTATGACAGTGAAAGCCTGTCAGTGAGCTACAGTCCTGCTGCTGTAAATACTCACCAGAGCGCCAAATGTGTCTCAACCACAGCTGAAAATAGTCTTCAGCATTAAGTCTTGTTTCAGCAACGTTTTCTATAAACCGTAGCGCCCCGCTGTTTTAGAAAATCACGCCTTTAGACTTTAAACATGTGGCCCATTTTAAAGGATCTGTGTGTCGCACAGCTTCAGGTAGTTGGAACGTATTTAGAGAAAGACTTAGAGGTTTTGGTCTTTTCATAGAATTTGTTATCAAAACTAAAAAAAAAAACTTGTAGAAGAACAGCCCTCTTCCTTCACTCTGTCCTTAAGGAACAGTCTTTCTGACTAAATATGAAGACACTGTCGAGTTAATGAACATCACATCTGGACCTTCTGTGTTTGTGCCTTGGCAGGTTTCACAGACTTCGCCGCCTGCCTCATCTTCACCTTCCACAGAAAGGAGATCCTAAGTGACAGCAGGGATCTAAGCAGAGGACGCTTCGGCTACTGCTTCATCCTGGCGTGGCTGTGCGTCCCTCTGCTGCTCGTCAGTGGCGTCCTTTACGTCCACCTGCGCAAGAAGAAGTGAACCAAGAGACAGACGTGGAGACTTGTTGTAGACGGTGTGATGCTGTGGTGGCAGCAGCCTGTGGACTGGATGAACATGATTCACATCAGACTCCCAGAGCTGGTTGAAGACTTTATTAAGACAAGACA